TCTATATACCTGTTGAACCGACTTCCCTCTCGGGCTGTTGAGGGAAAGACCTCATATGAATGCTGGAGTGGAAGAAAGCCGGCTACAAGGCATCTACGGGTGTTTGGTTTCATCTGCTACTGTTATATAGCAGAAGAGAAAAGGAAGAAGCTGGATGACAAAACAGAAATTTGTATCTTTTTGGGTTATAGTACAGAAACAAAAGGATACAGAGTCTTCAATCCAAAGACTAAAAAAGTTATGACCAGAAGGGATATAGTAATTGATGAAGCATCTCACTAGGATTGGAAAGATGAAAAGATAATCCCTAATAATATAAGTTCTACTTCAAAATAAGCTCAAAAAGAAAATGAAGAAATGAATAATCAAGAGTTAGAAAAATCACCAAATAAAAGGATAAGAAGCTTCTATGACATCTATGCTCAATGCAACATTGCTGTTGCAGAGCCAACAACTTTTGAAGAAGCTGCTCAACATGAGGTTTGGAGAAAAGCTATGGAAGAAGAATTGAACATGATCAAGAAAAATGCCACTTGGTTTCCTGTTCCCAAACCAAAAGGTAAAAATGCAATCGGAGTTAAATAGGACTTCCAGCTCAAAATGAACCCAGACGGCTCAATCAATAAATACAAAGCACGCCTGGTAGTGAAAGGTTATGCTCAATTACCGGGAGTGGATTTTGGGGAGACATTTACCCCAGTAGCAAGACATGAAATGATAAGGTTTCTGCTTGCTGTGACAGCACAAAGAGGTTGGCATGTCTTGCACCTTGATGTAAAACTTGCCTTTTTAAATGGTGAATTGGAAGAGGATATATTTTTCCAGCAACCGATAGGATTTGAAGTAGAAGAGAAAGCTGATTGTGTGTATAAATTACATAAAGCACTGTATGGTTTGAAGCAAGCTCCCAGAGCATGGTATGGCAAAATTGATGCATACCTACTCCACTGTGGGTTTAAAAGAAGTAAGAACGAAGCAACCCTATATGTCAAACACCTAAAGGATGGAAAAATAGTCATCATATCACTGTATGTTGATGATATTCTCATCACTGGAAATGATGAACAAAGAATGGAGGAACTCAGAACACAACTAGACCAGGAATTTGAGATGTCAAACTTTGGGAGAGCAACTTATTTTCTGGGAATGAAGATCGCGCAATCTGAGAAAGGGATCTTTATATCACAAAAGAAGTATGCGAGGGAATTGCTCAAAAAATTCAAGCTTGAAAATTACAAAGCCATATCTACCCCTCTCATACCACATTTTAAACTCTCAAAAGCTGAAGAAGAAGAAAGAGTGAATGAGAAAGAGTTCAGGAGTAAAATTGACAGCTTACTCTACCTAACTGCCACTTGACCAGATCTAACTTATGCAACCAGCCTGTTATCTCGGTTTATGAATTCACCAAGACAATCACACATGGCAGCAGTTAAACATATCCTAAGATATGTAAGAGGAACCACTGATCTGGGGATCCATTTTCAAGCTCACACAGAAGGAGAGCTTCTAGGATATACGGACAGTGACTGGGCAGGATGTGTGGAGGATGCTAAAAGCACATCGGGGTATGTTTTTTCACTTGGTTCTGGTGCGTTTTCATGGTCGTTAAAGAAGCAAGAAATTGTTGCACAGTCATCCGCCGAAGCTGAATACATAGCAGCAGCAGGAGCAGTAAATCAAGCTCAATGGTTAAGAAAAATACTAGATGATTTACAGATGCTTTTCACTGAACCTACGGTCCTCTACATCGACAATAAATCAGCAATCACCATTGCAAAAAATCCAATGTTGCATGGAAAAACTAAGCATATAAATGTTAAGTTCCACGCTATAAAGGAAGCAGAAAAAGAGAAAGAAGTAAGCCTAGTACACTGTGCAACAGAAGATCAAGCAGCAGACATTTTTACCAAGTCCTTGCTGAAACGCAAATTTGAAGAACTAAGGAAAATGTTGGGATGAATAAAATCCTTAAGGAGGAGTGTTCAACGTAAAGATTTCATTTATAATAGAAATCTATTTAAAATAAAGCTCCGAACAGAGAGGTGGCAGAATACATATAGAAAACCGACATATATGCGGTTTAGGATTATTTTTTAAATTTTGTGTTTAGAGTTTGTTTTTTGTTAGAATTCGAATTATGTTTTTTGAGTAGGACTCTAATTTAATTATGTGTTTAAATATCACTTCAAATCAATCAATCAATGATAGTTCTTTCCTCCCAAAAATTTCTGTAGTTTAAGAGAAACAAGAAAATAGAGAACTTTGAATGCACATACTCTGTTTTCTTGCCCTCTCTCTCTAAACTCTTTCTCTAAAATTAAAGCAAAAAATTGTGATAGTTTTTTTGATTAAAAATCTACAATCCAAATGTATGAAACCATAAATCCTTAATATTAGCCAAAAATTTTTTTCACCCCCTCAAAAGATCTTGCATTCCT